TCAACTGGAAGAATATAAAGAAATCAAGTAAAACAATAACCAATCACGCCTTGATTTTTACTTGAATGAAAAGCCTTGCTCTCCAGCATGCAGCTCAAGTCCCACCTGTGAGTGTGATTGCTTTTCCATCTTAAATACAGTACAGGACCAGCTTTGAGTGGGTAGTGTGGTAACGCATTCTGTTATCCCCCCTGCTGAGCTGAACTGATGAGCCCAGTCTTTTCACTCACTTTTTTTTGTGAAAAAAGAAAAATAAACACTCAGATTTTGAAAGAGCAAAACATGTGAAAAGTACCAAGGGACATGCATTTTTTCACTGCCCGGCACACATGGTGTTTTATCAGTTGATAAACACTTGGGTGTCGATGGTCATAATATTTCTGTTTATATCCAGGGCTGGGAACGAGCGGTGCATTCAGTTTCTTTCCCATTCACCACCTAAATTGTTTGACAAACCTGTGTCAGTTTTGATTGTCATAACCACAGTTGAGCCCTGCTTAGACACCCAGGTCAGGCTGCAAAAATATCATGCATATTTCATGCAGCATCACACTTCTCTGACAAAGGATTTATTTATTTTTTTTAATTTCATTAGACACTCGGAAAGTCTCTGGTCTGTGATCAGATGGGCTGTATGTTTTATTCATGTCCTCTGAACATCTGCTTGTCCGGATGTCAAAAAGCATCAGTCTCCCCCAGGACTCCTGCCTGACTGGTTGTAAATGAACTCCAGACTCATGGCTCAAAACAACCTGTCAAGGCTCTCCACCACCAGAGGAATCTTTCAACACAGCAGCGGAGGTGAGCTGAGTAACTAGGATCCTGTGCCGGAAAAGATTGATGAAAGCCAACTTTAGACGTATGCAAGACCATTTTTTTCTTTATTTATTTTAACAGATGTAAAAAAAAAAGTATTATGATTCATTGGTGTGATATAAGTTGTGCCTTCTCCCCACAGATTTTGGTGGATTTTGACACTGCTGTTCACTTTGGCTCCTGGTCGACAAGTCTCCCTGAGTCACTTGCT